ATCCACCCGCATACCACCCGCATACCACCCGCATACCACCCGCATACGACCAGCATAGCAGCCGCATACCACCCGCATAAAACCCGCATAAAACCCGCATAGTAGGCGCATACTACCAGGCATACCGGCGGTCAACCCCCTCGGCATCGGACGCCGTCGCGGAGCAAACCCGCCTGTGAAAAAGAGAATGCGGTGTAAATTGACGCTCACGATCGCGGCGACGTCCCTCGTGCGCGCGATGCGGCCAGTGGCCTTGTCTTCGAGGCATGAACCGCGATCGCGCGTGATCGCGCGCGACTCGAGCGCCGACGGAGATGCGCGCAAGGCTCGTGTGCTTTTTTGCCTCGGCGGTCCCGGCGCAGGCAAGGGAACGCAATGCGCCAAGCTCGAGGCGGAGTTCGGCTTCGTGCATCTCTCGGCGGGTGATCTGCTGCGCGCGGAACGCGCGTCCGGTAGCGCTGACGGCGAACTCATCGAGGCTTACATCGCCGAGGGGAAGATTGTGCCCGTGCGCGTGACGTTGAACCTGATCCGCAAGGCTATGCAGGCCTCTGTGGCGCACACCTTCGTGATCGACGGCTTCCCGAGGAACTCGGACAATCTCGAGGGATGGGACGAACTCATGTCGGACGTGACGGACGTTGGAGGCGTCCTCTTTTACGACGTTTCCCATGATGTCATGCAAGAACGTATTATGAAGCGCGGGGAAACGAGCGGGCGGAGTGATGATAACGCAGAGGCTGCCCTAAAACGCTTCAGGACGTACGAGGAGTCGACGAGGCCAATCATCGAGCATTTCAAGAAACGCGGGAAGCTCATCGCCGTGCCCGCGGCTGGGGACGTCGATGAGGTTTGGGGGCTCACGAGAGCGGCCATCGAGGCCTTGGAGGTATACCAGGAATAAGAAGGTGAGAGTAAGGGGGTGACTCGAAGTGGGGTTTAAATGCCAGTGGCGAGATCGATGTCCATCTGAAGTTATGGGGCTAAATATGGCAGCCGCATATAGAAAATAGTTATATTATGGAAAAATTAAAGTCAGTCGCATATTCCAGCGATTTCATTGGTCGAGGACAGAAGATAACACGTATTCTTTGTCCGACGCCACACGCTGCGGTACCTGGAAGTATTTTTGTGAATGGGTGGCCTCGGGCAGATCAGAGTGAGACTGCGTTACGGGTATCCTAGGGGTATCCTGGCTCCTCTGCTCCCCCGCCGCGGCCGGAAAGGCGGAGCGGGGACTGCGAAGCCAGGCCGGGGAATGAGAGTGTGCACGCCGCAGCGTGCAGGGAGGCGGGCGGGTGCCACGGCACCGCGCCGGGGAGGAACGGCGGTGCGGCGTGCCTTGCGGGCACGCCGTGTTGAGGCCGAAGAGCGGGAACCGGCGTAGAACCCCGCAGGGTTGTCGCTGTTCCGGGCGTACGTAGATGTCTCCGAAGTCGGCCTTGGCGTGCCGTCCGACGATTTCGAGCACGGGCGCGTGGAGCATGATCGACCGCGTCCAGGCCCTGAAGAGGGCCTTGTTCGCGTCATGGACGCCGCTCTGCGGCGTGAAGATGACGACGTCTTTGAAGAGGTTGTTCAGCTCGACGATGCTGAGGAGCGTCGGCTCGTCGTCGCCGTCGCCGCCGCCGGCCGCGCCCGCGCGGGTCCGCGGCGGCATTGTAGGAAGGCGGGGTGCTGGTGTCCTCGCCGCTGCGCCGCGCGCGGTCCGCGCGGGCGCTGGTGGGGCCTGGACCGGAGCGCGGCGCGACGCCGGGCTCTGCGGCGGCGCGCGCTCTGGCTCCAGGGGCTATCCGCCGCTCGCGAGCGGTGGATCTGCTGCGGGCGGCGCGCTCTGCGCGCAGGCTCGCAGCGGTGTAGCTGCGCACAGCTAGCAGGTGTAGCGCGGTGGCTCACAGCGCGAAAAATGGGGACATAACCCAGATCAGAGTGAGACTGCGTTACGGGTATCCTAGGCGTATCCTGGCTCCTCTGCGCGTGCGCCTTTCCGACGCGGCTCGTCGAGGGCTTCCGGGCTGCGAGGCCGTCGTGCGAGGTGCGCCTTCGCAACCTCGGCCGCGGCGGGTACACGACGATGTACGCGCTGGCGCGGTTCGACCCGGCCGAGACGGCCGACGCCGACCTGCTCATCCTCGACGAGACGGTCAACGACATTTTTACGAATAAGGAGGAGAGCCGGAACTATCACCCATACGCGCGCATTCGCGGCGCCGTGGAACTGCTCGTGCGGCGCATCTTCCAGACGGCCGCAAAGGCGCCGCCGGCGCTCCTCCTCCTCAGCACCATCGTGGCCGCGCCGCCCACGGACTACAGGTACCAGGACGATGCCCTCGAGCCCGTCGCGAGGCGCTACGGCCTCCCGCTCGTCAGCTACCGCGACGCCGCCGATGCGGCCGCCGCGCTCGCATTCCACGGGGCATCGACCGGAGGCAACAACCGCAGCACCTTTCTGATGACGTACGCGTGGCATCCCGGGGGCGGACCACCGCATCCCGGGATGAGCGACCTGAACCACCCCGACTGGTTCGCCCACCTCCTCATGGCGGACCTAGTCGCGTACGTCGTCGCCGCCGCGAGGAGCGACCCTCGGGTCGACGCCGTGCCCCTCGCCGCCGCGACGCGCGACGCCCTCGCCGCGGCGCCCGCCTTTGGCGCGAAGGGCCTCGTCGACGCCTGCAACGGCGACTACCTCACGCGGCTGCCGACGGCGGACCGGCCCGACTTCTCCCGGGCGCCGCTGGGCACGCCAGGCCCGGGCTGGACCTTCGTCGCCAACGGCTCCAAAAGCGGCTGGGAGTACGACGCCTCGGACGACGTCCGCCGCGGCCTCGCCGAGATGCCTCGCATCCGCTTCCCTGTCGCCTTTGGCACACGGCCGGGGCTCGTCCTCTCTGTCATGAGCTCGTACGCCAACTTCGGCCCCGGCTGCTTCTGGCTCGAGCGCTCCGGCGCCGCCAGCCTCGACGTGGCGACCGCCGCCGTCCACGCCGGCCGCGCCCTACGCGACCACTGCTGGACCGTCAAGACGAAGCCGGGAAGCTACGAAAAGAACGGCGTTCACGAGTTCCTCTGCCACAAGGTCCTCGCGCACTCGATCACCCTCCCCTTCATCGTCGACGGCCACTGGGGCGATCGTTCTTCTCAGCCGAGGCCCCAGTCGTACGCTGCCGTAGGCGCCGTCCCGACGCCTACTCGCTACGTCCAGGGCGCCCCCTCCTT